CATTGCTCAACATCATGAAAATTAAACCTTATTTTCAATAAGCAATCCTGAAAAATATTTGGGGGTGCTTAACTTTTTTCCAGGTGTATAATTAGCTTAAACCATTTATCGCATGACGAGAATACTTATAACAACGTCATTGATTTCTCTGTTCTGGTTTTTGCGTGGTATGACTTATTATTTTTAAAATGTTAGTATAAAATACAAATTATGTGAACATATATATTTCAGACTCGTAAAGTTACTAAACACATAATTAAACATGCCTTAAAACAAAAATTAAAAAACTTATATATTACTGATCCACGTGTTTATGACGCTGGACTTGCAATCGTCGTGTCGCGGGATCGAATCTCATCATCAAACATACTTGACCGATCAACCGTGGGGGCGTTATAATGTGACGGTCAATCCCACGTTTCGCTGATAAAGAGTAGCTGAAGAGTTGGCGGTGGATGGTGTTGACATTCTCCGTCTCTTTAGTCTATCACTTCTAAATTACAGACGGTTAGCACAGATAGTCCTCGAGTAGCTTTGCGCGAAATTCAACAAACAATTCCTAAGACAAATTATTCCACAAGACAATCAGTTATTGTTGTTATAATTTTAGGACCCTGGCATAGCCTGGTGGTTAGCGCACTCCACTCACAATCTGCAGGTCGCGGAAACAAAACCCATCACCTAAGATGCTCAACTTTTCAGCCATAGGGGCGTAATAATGTGTCCGTCAATCCCACTTTTCGTTAGTAAATAGTAATGAGTGGTATTGAATAGCCGCCCTCTCTCTCTTGTCTTAGGCTTCGAAATTAGGACGGCTAGCATGTATAGCTCTCGAATAACCTTCGCGAAATTCAACAAACAAATTATAATTTCATGTGCTGAGATCGTTACTCGATAAAGAGTTTAAAATCGTCTATTCATTACAAACAGGTCAAACTCCGAAGCAGATCAAAACATATTCACCTCGGTTTTGGCAATCCTTGGTAGGTCGTCTTGAATATCGTTGGTAGACAATGTAGGTTCCATATCGGTCTGTTAAAAACATAGAGACTTAGATAACATAAAGAGATATTCCTTTGTTTGTAATGTTTGTTTGTTTTTGAATTTCGCGCAAAGCTACACGAATGCTATCTGCGCTAGCCGTCCCTAATTTAGCAGTGTAAAACTAGAGGGAAGGTAGCCAGTCATCACCACCCACCGCCAACTCTTGGGCTACTCTTTTACCAACGAATAGTGGGATTGACCGTCACATTATAACGCCCCCACGGCTGAAAGGGCGAGCATGTTTGGTGGGACGGAGATTCGAACCCGCGACCCGCAGACTGCAAGTCGAGCGCCCTAATCACCTGGCCATGCCGGGTTTCATTAGGGCACATAGCTTTCGAATTATAAACTTAAGAACATCCCTGCAACCGTGACACGAGGTTATTTATACAGTCACATTTGATTTGATTTTTATATATATAGTTTTAATAACTTAATCAATATTAATTTTGAATTGCTATGATTGTACGTTTGTGACTAAGTACGTCTTAAGTCGTCGTGATTTAGTGTCTCTTACTCTATTTTGGATATTAGTTATAGATAGATCTGTAGATTAGCACCTTGGATTAACACAGATAAGCGGTTTGATTTATATAAATACTTAAACATCAGGGTTGGCTGTCAAAAAGTTACATTTATCCAAACCCCCTAAATCAATAGTTTTTTTAATTTTACTTACACACACACACACCATTGTTTGTTGCGTCTTTTATGATATGTTGACCACAGTGTTCAATAATGACATCCAAACACGATTTCCTTTGCTTATAGGCTCCCATGAATTTGGAGTTGGCGTTAGAAGGACCTTCTCCAAAGAAGAACAATTTTGAGCTTTGGATAGAAAGTATAAATTCGTTCTAATACGTTTTAAATTTAGAAGCTTTTGTTGTACACATTGTAGTTCGTTATAACGCTATATTTTTACCCCACTCAGAAATTTTGAATTTAACACGTTAGCACAATATGTAACCGAGGAAATTGGGTACCATTTTTTATTACCATAAATCCGTGTGATTTCGAGTCTAATCCATGATGAATTGTAATAATAAACAATGATCTGAAAAAGAAATTCAATTTTGATATTAAAATGTATAACAAACAACCAGAATTTTCTTCAGTTAGATTGTACATCTCTACTGACGTCTTGTATTACAATTTTAATACACTATGTCATAACGGTACATAAATGTCAGGAATATAAACTACTATAGTTTGTACCGTAAACCTCGGTTGTTTCTTTATTGTTAAGCACAAAGCCACACAGGGGGACATCTGTACAGTGCCATTTTAAGAAATATAATGAATAACGTAAATATACAGAAACTAATATCGAGAAATCTAACTTAATTATAAATTTAAATGAACAGTTTTATACTTAGGTTTTATTAAAATACAGGGTTTTGAGTTTTAAGTTCCTATCATCACACTTATATTTTAAGTGGTATTAAGATATTAGTTACTTCACCTCAAAATTACAAATTAATATTTTTGTTTTATGATGTTTTGTTCAATTCTTGCAATAGAATAAATTTTAATATTAAAAATTTGCTTTTTTTTAATAAGATTTGTCAATCACAACAACAACAGTTGTTATGATGTTCACAACAAAACAACTGTTGTAACAAACGGCTTTTATAAATAATGTTCCGACCACTACCGTGTTTGTTGTATCCCAGCCAGCCTAATGAGCTCTGGAATGAGCGAAACGCGGCGTCGGCATTAGATGTGACGAACATAGTGTAGTTAGAGTATTATTATTATTATACACTCTTCTAATTCTTGAAAATCCCCGTAGATAAAGAATTTAGCGTTAAAAACATAGTAGGCCTAGTAGTAATATCTTATGAAAATATAATTAATTTGTCAATTACACTTCAAACGTCCAGAAACATGGTGTTTAATGGCCAATTAAATTATGTATCGTTTAGTTAAGAAGAACAAATTCTAAATACTCATTTTATTATAGAAAACTGCTTGGTAAAGAGATATATATATAAATATTTCAATAATACATGAAACGGTGGTATAGATTTTATACAGTTATTACTGTCAGGGGTAAAATTAGCTGATATCACTTACCTAATTACTAATGGTATAACCTTTAATTCTACACTGGGTTTATGGTGTTTAAGTTTAGCATGTAATGTTTGCTCTACAAACAGAACTCGGAGTGCTTTCAAACATCGAAATTTATTGAATTAAAGTACATTTTACTTCAGACTGTCGGTTCAAAATTAGAGGGTAATCAAATATAACCCTCGTGTAGTTTTACACAAAAGAAACAAACCAAGTGTACACAATCTGTATACCCTTTCATGGGAAGCCATAATATTCTAAGTGAATTAGCCAAGAAGGCGCCCATCTGTCATTTCCAGAGTTGAAAACTCCATAATAAATATAACAAGTACACTGAAACTGACCTCTTTTTTTTAAGATACACGACAACATGCTTTAAAGTATATCATTAAAAGTGTTTCGTCAAATAACTTTTAAAGATTATTTAAAATATAATTTCAAAGCCAGTGGCTTCAGCGAAGATACTAATTAACTTGTGACCTGGGTAAATTTACAATATGTTTAACATAAAGTTTGTGAGTAGCCCTCTGTAGAGTAATTTTAGAACCTTCATCTACTTAGACCAAAATGCTGGAGGTGATGTTGTGCAGCAGGAGTCGACACAACAAGCAGACTCGAAACGTTTTCTGGAGATATTACTTAAAGGTAAGCTGGTTGTTGAAAACAACGATTCTGAATACACCTATTGTATTTCAAAAGTTGATTAATATTAGGCTTAGTAATATCGTTTGCCTACCGTATAATATGAGGGTTTAAAAATCATTTAACAGAATTTCTGTCGTAAGCCTACTGTGGTATACGAGGGTATAAAAATTATTTAAATGAATTCCTGTCGTAAAAATAATACGAAATATAAACATGTCTGTTATTCAGATCTATCGTTTTGAATCTAATAAACGCATTTGTTTTATTTACGTTATTCGTACAGACCAAGGACAGGAAGCCAAAATGACGTGTATAAAGTGGATAGGAGCATTAAGGTAAGCTGTAAACACAACATCTTGTTATAACACATTAATGTGTTTATTTCTATCACATGAATTAAGAGTATGCCATTTGTTTTACGTTTTTTTTGTTAAATAAAAGCGTTACAGTTTTGTTGGTAGCGTGTTTTAACATCAGATTAATGTCATGTATTAAATTCCTTGTATTACTAACGAAGGTGAAAGCTATTGGTGTAACCAAGAAGTTTGAGATTTATTGGTATAAACAACAAAATGTTCACGTTTTTGGGAACGACTGTTTTTGTCAACTCTTTATTTCAGTGATAGTGGAGCTTTTGAAGACTTCTCGCTGAAGCGACTGGACGGACTTATAAAGGAAGCACTAATTTTGGAAGGTAATCTGAAGAGACAAAAAGATGTTTTACGCCAACGTCTTCAGATATTGACGAAAACACTACAGGGCTTGGAAATGTAGCTGACCGTAACGAGCCGCCGAGGGCGTAATTGTTTGGGTTCGACTCAGCACCAGTTAGAAATAAATTTGTTTAATGCTAGGTTAAGCATTGGTGGGTTAAGTCCACAAGCCACCAACTGGAGGAGGTTTACGTTTCGAATAAAGAAAGTTCACTGAGAGACTGTTTAATAAAATAATTGTAATACAAGACACTCGTCTACACCAAAATTCCCCAAACTATTTTGAAACAGTTCGATAATAAAATTATTCAGCTCTTCGTTCATTAATTAGATCTCCTATTATAGTCATTAACATGGAAATTACAATGAACACGTTATCAACCAAGTTAGCCCGACATGTTCTTTCAGACATAATTTCGCTTATACGATTCCATTAATAATAGTTATTCCAATACGTTTATTAATAACTCTATTACATCTTCTACCAACTTAGTTAAATCTGCAGCACAGTTAATGTTTAGTACATTTTTACAAATGTTGTTAGCATGAACTACTTACAAGGAGTTTGTACGACTGTAGTGTGCCCCTTCTGGATCTGGAGGTGCAGCGGAGGTTTTGAGCAATTCTGGATCAGTTGGAGAACTACGGGATAACTAGACAAGTCAGGAACTTGCGAGTACCTGCTTCCAACACCAAAATCCCGACGTTTTTGTACTTAATTAATATATTTACAGTGTTTTGTATTACTTAGTTAATATATTTACAGTGTTTTATACTACTTAATTAATATATTTACAGTGTTTTATACTACTTAATTAATATATTTACAGTGTTTTATACTACTTAATTAATATATTTACAGTGTTTTGTACTACTTAATTAATATATTTACAGTGTTTTGTACTACTTAATTAATATATTTACAGTGTTTTGTACTACTTAGTTAATATATTTACAGTGTTTTGTACTACTTAATTAATATATTTACAGTGTTTTATACTACTTAATTAATATATTTACAGTGTTTTATACTACTTAATTAATATATTTACAGTGTTTTGTACTACTTAATATATTTACAGTGTTTTGTATTACTTAGTTAATATATTTACAGTGTTTTATACTACTTAATTAATATATTTACAGTGTTTTATACTACTTAATTAATATATTTACAG